CCATGTATGCCAGATCCGGCATTGTATTGTCCGTCGATGTCCGTCTCTTGTGCATTAAACCCAGTTTACCTGAAGTTCTGGCTTGCTCTCCTGCTCGCCTCCTTCGCCAAACGTGACAATGGCAAAGTGGAGATTGTATTTTCTTTTTATCATTTTCATTTTAATTTTATTTTTTGCAGAAAATACCTCCCATAGGGAGGGAACCCACTGAAGTATGAGAAAAGTATACACACACACACACACACACACACGTTTGTAATTATATCTTTGTGGGGACTCCCCGTTCATTTCTATGGGGAAAACTCTAATCCCAACATGACAACCTTAACCCCTACCGAGCCCTAACCTTAACCATAAGTAACCAAAATGAGAGTTTTTTGACTGCATTCAGACCTCAAAATTGGTCCCCACAATGTAATATAAACATAATCCACACACACATACACATAGACACATACCGCTCTAAATACACCAAAAGAATGAATTCTCTTTGAAATGATTTGATTACTTTATGCCATAAAAGGGATTAAAGTGAAGTTCTTGTAGGATGGCTCAGGAGTCTGGAGTGCAGATGTGTGATCAAGTAAATATTTCATACCACTTCACATTCAGCCTGCATATTGCAGCAGTTCCACTGATTACTCCCAAGTTTGAGGTTGTAACTGTTGCTCACCACCATATACTGAACAGGAGAAATGGCGATTTGCCAACATGAAGTGCCTGTCATATGACGTGACGCCGCCGTTCCTCACCTGTCAGAGATCGGCCCGGATATCAGCGACCCTGCCACCACCCCAAAAAATGACAGAGAGGTGGTGAAAGGCGCCTTCCACGAATCTTCGCACACCAAACTCCACTGCAAGTTTGCATCAGAAACATAAGAGAGACATGAAGAGCGGCCCCACTAAGACAGCACAGCCCCCCGAGACCCCCGTACCTCGGTCACGATGGTGGACTTGTACGTGTCGGCGCTGAACCTCCATCCGTCCAGGCATCCCTCCGTTTCGTTTGCCCAGCCGGCCGCGGACCGATTGAGGTGCTTGTATCGCCTGCACCTGCTGAGCGCCCGGTCCCCGATCGTCCCTTCGTGCGGGATGTAGTCGCTGATGTTCTCGCCGTTTGTGGAGGACACCACAACGCAGTGGTGTTGCGGCGTGGCAGCCAGAAAAACCATCGACAAGCTCATGTAGCCCTGAGGGATGAAGGTTAGACTCAGCAGAAAGAAGATGCACTTCTGGAAACGCCCCCACTCCCCTAAAAATGACGTGGTTTCTTCATAATTTTCCATTTCAATTTTGGAAAAGTGTGCGAACAAGCTGAGACTCTCTCTGTCAGATGAGCTCTAAATAACAGTGTGCAGACTCTTCACTGTCACGCCCAGCTCCGTACGATCCTCGTGTGTGCCACGCCCACCTCATTACCTTGTGTTAACTCCTGATTGTACTCACCTGTTGCCTATTCCTTTTTCCTTGTCTTGTGTATTTAGTCCGAGTCTCAGTCAGTCTTCCCCAGATCAGTCATTGTGGTGTCATGCTGTTTCTTGTTTACTTGTTGTCAGCACAGAATAAAACCCCTTTCGAGTATTCCTGGGTTACTCTGCTGCTTCCCCGCTCACCTGCACGCCGTAGCGTGACATTCACACTGTACTCTGCACTTCTCTCACTTTATTGCATAACCATTTAGATGCCTATGCACCCAGCAACACACCACCTGAGATGGCTGGTTTTTTTTAAGTCATCAAGAGGTCATCCTTTCCTTTGAAGGCTTCTCAGACTCATATGCATGCCTCTCTCCGTTTAATTAGTGTGTCAAAACAAACAACGGCAGTGCCTTTTCTTTGAAATGGCCTTTTATCTGACTGGCATGCCCTGTGTTACGCCGAAAGCCTGGTGTTAATGTTTAAGTAGCTATGTAGCCAAGTGTGGGCAGGTGGGCTTGGCCCAGCAAAATGTTCCAGGGGACAGAGGCTGCTGCCTTGAAGTGGGAGAGTTGGAACTATCACTGGCCCTAGTTAGGTGCCAGTGAAACAGTACCATGAAAGACCCTGAGCTCCTTGCTAAAACCCAGCTTGCTTCACGGCAGCGTTTCATCAGGCCTTCAGCAGAGTCTGACAAGGTTAAAGCTCCACCTTCAGCACTGGTTCGAGTCCTCGTGCTTTTAAAAGAACCTACACAGCTGAAAGGGAGTTTTACAGAAGAGAAGGGCTTCAGAGCACTAGAAGCACATACTCTGTGGATTGTGGATATTTTATGTTGCTCACTAAAACCACAGGTGTCTTATTTATTGCTTGCCTAGTGTACTTTTGCTCCCATATAAATACAATTTCCAGATTACTGGTTAAGGTCGTGCTCTTTATTGCAGTTTGTGACAGTTTTCCTTCCAGCACATGGACTGGTTGTTGTAAAACCAAAACAAAAATTTGAGCACTAGACAGATGAGCAAGAGGGACAAACTTTCACACGGAAATTCTGGTTTTTAATTATTGCACAATCTGCCGGAGATCTGTGCCTATCTAGTGCAAACAGGTTATTTCATGTCATGTGCTCATAAATCCTGATTTTATAAGTAGCATCTTAGTGTGTGGTGAGTGTTTGCCTGAAGGGTTCATGATAATTGGTATACTTACTCACTCCAGTCTGGAATCTGTCTGGAAGGAGCACATTTAGCTTCAGAAATGGTTTCACTGCAGACGTCGGACTATTAAGACATATCTTTATTAAACGTTTCCTTAAAATAGAGGTTTTCGAGCCAAATGCTACAGCCCTTGTGATGTGAAGCAGCTGCTTGGACAGTGCGAGGCCTATCCACAGCAGTGCAAGGCCTATCCACAGCAGTGCGAGGCCTATCCGCAGAGCGGCTGGTATCCTGACAGCCAACTAAGGAACCTGGCTTAAAAATTCCCTGCTCGCTGGGGGGGCTTTATCTTTGGCCAAGTGCCAAGTGTTTTATAATCTAATACTCCAGACTGACGACGTCTGCCATGGTTCACATTTCCTGTAAATTTCAGCAGACGATAACATTTCAGAGTGTAATTCATAGAATGCGAAGCCTTAGTGACATGCAGACCCAGAGTGCCCCCTGGCTGTGATGTAACAACGACATGCAGACCCAGAGTGCCCCCTGGCTGTGATGTAACAGCGACATGCAGACCCAGAACATCCCCTGGCTTTTATGTAACAGTGACATGCAGACCCATAACGCCCCCTGGCTGTGATGTAATAATGACATGCAGACCCAGAACGCCCCCTGGCTGTGATGAAATAATGACATGCAGACAGAGACCGCCTCCTGCCTGTGATGTAACAGTGACATGCAGACAGAGACCGCCTCCTGCCTGTGATGTAACAGTGACATGCAGACCCAGACTGCCCCCTGGCTGTGATGTAACAGTGACATGCAGACCCAGAGTGCCCCCTGGCTGTGATGTAACAGTGACATGCAGACCGAGACCGCCCCCTGGCTGTGATGTAATAATGACATGCAGACCGAGACCGCCCCCTGACTGTGATGTAATAATGACATGCAGACCGAGACCGCCCCCTGGCTGTGATCGCTTATGCCTCCCTGCTTGAACTGTGGTGTAGGCTCACATTATGAGGCAGGCATGTACAGAACGATGCAGTTGTACAGTGTGTTTTAGAACTGCAACTTTTTGAAGTATGTAGCTCTCCTTCCTTGCTGTCTGCAGTGGTGTATAGGCATCCTGGAAATAATGGTGCTTTTATTAAAAAAACGGAAAACCTGCTCCCTGGTTAAATGACACTACATGTCAGCTGCACAGTGAATGTAGAATCACTGAACGGCGCTGTAAGAAAGACAGGTTAACTGTGTCTAAACAGATCTTCAGGACTTCTTTGTTTTGAAGTGGCAGTGATCAAAGCTAAACAAGACTATTTCTCCGATTTGGAAACTTCTCACTCTAACAAGCCTTGGGTTTTATATAAGGCCATTAACGCAGTTATTTACCCTCAGTTAGAGACAGGATCTATTAGTACTCTTTCATGTGAGCAGTTTCTTTCATATTTTGTCAGTAAAACTGATGCTATCCAATCTGGGATTGTTCCTGCTGGTTATTCACTTCTGGATGTTGATCATGACATTGCATTTGAGTCCTTTGAGGCTGTGTCACTCTCACAGTTAAAGAGTACCGTGGTTAAACTTAAACCTACATTCTGTCCTCTAGATATTATTCCCCCATGCCTTTTAGTTGAAGATTTTGATGTTCTGGGCCCTCTCTTATTAGTTATTATTAATATGTCCATTAGGGAGGGGGTGGTGCCATCATATTCAAACAGGCAGTGGTGTGACCTGTTCTGAAAAAAACAGATCTAGATCCTGGAGTGTTGGCCTATCGACCAATTTCACAACTGATTATTCTGGCTAAACTTTTAGAAACAATCATTCATAATCAACTAGTTGGTCATCTTAACAATAATAATTTATTTGAGATGCACCAATTTGGCTTCCGACGCTTCCATGGTGTTCAGACAGCTCTTCTGAAGGTGTTTAATGACATCTCGCTCATTGTTGAATCAGGTGGGGTGGCAGTTTTTGTCCTTCTAGATCTCACTACAGCTTTTGATACTGTTGACCATGGCATTCTGCTAAGAAGGCTGGAACAACAGGTTGGGCTTAAAGGTGCTGCTCTTAACTGGTTCAAATCATATCTCACTGGTAGACAATTCTCTGTGTCATTCAATTATACTGTCTCGTCTCCAGCACCTGTTAAATGTGGTGTTCCTCAGGGATCTATATTGGGCCCGATCTTATTTTCAATTTATCTAAAACCAATAGGTGCTATCTTCAGGAAGTTCAACATCCCATTTCACTGTTGGTGATACACAGGTTTACATTCCTGTCAGTAGCTTGGAAATAAACCAGCTGAAAAATTGTCTCTGTGAACTAAGATCCAGGATGGCTGATAATTTTCTCGATCTTAATCAAAACAAAACTGAATTGTTAATTATTGATCCTTCTGCTAAAATTCAAAAGGGTCGTGAACTCTTTGGTTCCTTTTCAGATTCTAGCAAACCGTATGTCCGTAACCTAGGGGTTATTTTTGACAGCCGCCTCTCATTTTAGAAGCAGATAAACTCCGTAGTAAAGAGTTGTTTTTTTCAACTTTGTCTTTTAGCTAAGGTCAAACCTTTTTTTATCTCATGGGGATCTTGAGAAAGCGACTCATGCTTTTATTTTATTTTATCTGGATTTCTGCAAATCACTGTACTGTGGAATCAATAAATCCTTGATACGTAGGTTGCAGTTGGTACCGAATGCTGCTTCTCGCTTTCTAGTTGGAGCAAGAAAATATGATTCTGTTTCTCCTATTTTAGTTTCACTACATTGGCTGCCTGTCAATTTTGGAATTGATTTTTAGATTTTGCTATTAGTTTTTAAATCATTACATGGGAATGCGCCTGCCTATTTGTCTGATTTGTGTGTTCTGTACTAGAGATGCTCCGATCAGCATTTTTTGGGCCGATCACCGATCACCAAGATCATGATCTGCCGATTGCCGATCACTGCCGATCACAGAATGGCAGGGGAATGAGAATCTTTTATCTATAATCTAGCAGAGTTTGCACCATTTGTAGAAATGAAACTAACTCTAAATTAACTATATTGAGAAAAAAAAAACTGTAGAAATAGGCTACAGTCAAGATCTTGAAGAATCAAGCGCTTGACACTTGGCGCCCCACACTGAAGGAGGGGCAGTGACACTTTGGTCAGCACTGTTGCCTGACACCTCCAGGGTCAACACATGAAATGTTCCCCGAGAGTAGAGTGGTTTACTTTCTCATACTCGGCATATTCAGTTGTATGGCGTGTTCTAAGATGCCTAATCATGTTAGTGGTGTTAAAATGCCGTTGCTTGCTTCCACCTCAAGGGATTTCATCACGGCATACATTGCAAACGGCTAACTTTACATCTTTATCGGACACTTTGAAAAACTTCCAGACGGGAGAACTCATGTTGCCACTGGTAAGCTCCGCTCTGCTGTTGTTTACCTGTGCGCCGTGCATGCACGTGTGAAAAAGTTGCGCGAGTAATTTACGTCAAGTGATCGGCTTTTTTGATCGGCGCTTTTGGGGTTCGCCGATCAAGCTATTTTTAGCCAATATCGGCCGATCATGATCGGTGGCCGATCAATCGGAGCATCACTATTCTGTACCAGTCATCCAGAAATCTAAGATCTTCTGGTCAGTTGTCTCTTATTGTACCACATACCAAATGTAAAACAAGGGGAGACAGGGCTTTTGCAGCTGTTGCGCCTCAACTGTGGAACTCCTTACTCCAACTTATTAAGGAGTCTCCTTCAATTTACCTATTCAAGTCTAGATTAAAGACATATTTGTATTCTCTTGCTTTTTGTGATTGCTGATATTGATGTTTTTTTCCTCTTATTTTGTATTTACGTCAGCATCATTAGCTGTATTTTGATTTTGACATTTGATTACTTATTGCTAGTAATTTTATTTAGTTTTTTTATGGTTGTTTTATGTAAAGCACTTTGGTTACAGCACTTCTGCTGTTGTTTTAAATGTGCTATATAAATAAATTGACAAAGTGGACTGCACACCATTCCTTCGCTCTCCAGAACAAGAAACACATTCCTAAACAGGTCTGTAAACATATTTATATCTGGTTTTGATCTGGATGGCTTTACAGTTGCAGCCAGGTGAACAATGAGTAGAAAATCAAAGAGGGTACCCAGAACTGGACTAGAACCTGAACCAAATCCCACAAACCCAGCCCAAGAGACAGATCCCAAACATGACGCTACACTGCTCATGAACTATATTTTCCACCTCATCCTAGACATCACACTGAGGGTCCGGTTATGGTGTAGGTGTGTCCGTGGGCAGCTCCCAGGTACTGTTTGACACCCCGCTACGATGGTGACACTTCTGTTTCCGTGCCAAGGGAATCGGTGCAGGCCCTTTCCGACTTCTTGGAAGCACATTTGCTGTGGAAAGACAGAAATAAGAACTGGAAAAATACTAACAATAGGAGGCTATAACAATCCTCATAGTGATCTCACATTATCATTACTTAAACAACTGTTTACACTTCATCTGGCAAGTTGACTTAGTTCAAAAGTTCATGATCAGGCCTTAATAAAGTCTGCTCATGTAAACACGACGGGTGACTTTCTGAACCGCACCACATGATGGGTTTGACTTGGCTGATGAGCTCTGGAAGCTCATTGTCTTTGGTTTCGGGAAGCAGCAGACTAAGAAAGCCCACCAAGACGGTGACGCCGCCCATCAGGAGGTAGGGGGCGACCTTGTTGTAATCTCCTAAGGACCAAAATCAGAACATTGGTTGTATCAGGCATGCCTTCATGCATAGATGTTCAACTGACACTTTTAACCAAAGAAACTTCTTGGTAAATAGACTCAGTTAGCTGACTCACCGATGTAGGCAATGTAGGGAGAGATGATGGTACCAACACGGGTGGCTGTAGAGATTGCCCCCATGCCTGTGTTCCGTAGTACGGTGGGGAACATCTCCGTGGAGTAGACGTAGATGAAGCAGTAGGCTGCAGTGATGCCCCCTTTACCCAGCATGACCAGAACCAGCACCACCGCATCCAGCTCTGAACACAACAGTCCGCCGGTTACTGCTGTTTATCACCAAAGCCGAAACGTAACAACTACACCAATGTACTTGATGGTGCTCTGAGTTCAGAGATCACCGTGTAAATGCGGTCACCAGGACAGACAGCCTGTACTGCTGCAGGGACCTTCAGGCTGCAGATTTAACAAATTCAAAACTCAAGGGTCTGAACCGGTACCATCAGGGACGAACTTGATGACGAGAAGCGTCACCCCCGACAACAGGAAGAGGAAGATGAGGGTGAAGCGGCGGACGGTGTATCTCATGAAGAGCCACGTGGCCACATAGGCCACGATCTCTGTGACGGCGGAAATGAAGCAGTTCAGGTAGGGGTCCCCACCCATGTTGGGGGTGTTCAGGGAAAGGCCGTAGTAGGTCATGGACGTGACAATCCTGTGTGTTAGGAGACACAGGAGAGGGAGTCACTTCAAGCAGAGGTGGATAGTTCAAATCCAGAAAATAAAAATCCAGAGGCAACATGAGTTCTCCCGTCTGGAAGTTTTTCAAAGTGTCCGATAAAGATGTAAAGTTAGCCGTTTGCAATGTATGCCTTGATGAAATCCCTTGGTCTGGATTTTTACTTTCTGGATCTGAACTATCAAACTCTGACCTCCAGGGACCGGATGAAGGACAGCAGCTCACTACAGAGAGCTCAGCATGTAGATTTGTCATTTTAGTAATTTTCAATATTTATATACAGGTCATTTAATTCGAGACAGTATTTACCAAATAATGGTGTTCAGGATAGTGATGTTCCTGATGTTAGCTGTTCTTACGAGGTCGAGGATGGTGTACATTCTCTGAGGCTCTGTTTTTCTCAGCTATAAGAAAAACAAAAAAAAGTGAGGTTCAATAACTGACAGCAAGGAATATAATATAATAAATAATAAAATTAACCCTACTGTACCCTACTGTAACCCTAATCAGTGGGGAGCAGGGTTCTGCTAATCTGCTAACTAGTGAAGCTAACTTTTTTTGTTTGTGGATTAGTGTTTCCACTAACATTGAAAATCATTAACAGACCAATTAGCTTCCACTAAATTTAGTTCCACTTGCTGTAAATCCACAAAAAAAAATATTCACAGATAAAGTAAATAAATTTTAATGGTCAAAAACATTTGGAAATCCTAAAATCTCACATATTTCATGTGACTAGCAAATTCATTGTCGTATTTAATGAAGTCTGGGCTGAATGTAAGTGAACGAAGATGAAGTCTGTTTAAACGGGGGTTCCCTGAACTAAGCGGAAACCTGGGGCCTGTATCACGAAGCTGGATTTCTTAGTCGCATAACTTTTCTGATTTCTGGTACCCTAGTTTAAACAGCTATACAGACCAAGAAAGAGCTAAGACCCTCCTCCCTAGTTCTGGGTAAACAGCGGAATGTTGTGGTCCCCAATCGGCCTCACTGAGGCCAAAATGTCAACATGAGCCAGTTGCAGAATATGACTCCTCTGACAAAAACTAAAAAAATATATAAAAAATATATTTAAAAACATATTTCGCAAAAGAAATATCATTGAAAGAAAATGTATTCCTGAAGCCAATGATCCCCAACTGGGTAAGTCCTAAAAATGCCCTGGTAAGTGCTCCAGCGCTGAGGAACTAAAGGAATTTAGCAAAACTGGTTAGAATTTCAGCTCTCTAGGTGTGTTTTTATGGGTTTCAAAGCCCAAAGCCAAATCGAAGCTAAATTCATGTAACAAAAGTTAGCGGATATCATTAGCTTCCGCTAAATATCCTTGTGGTTTGAAGTTAGCGGATTAGTTGATATCAAAGCTAACTTTTCAGTTAGCTGTGCCCACTACTGACCCTATGCCTACCCTTCACATCATCCATCTTTCCCTCTACAGCAACCTCTGTCTCAGCTCTTCACAGCTTCTCTGTGTGACAGCCACTGCCAGTAGCCAATCACACCATGGTACCTTCTGCTCACCAGCTGAGAGCCGTCCTCCGTCTTGAATATAACCTCTGGGGCGTTAACACCATTCTTTCTGGCGATGGCCCGAATAATGGCGTCAGCCTTATCCACTTGTCCGTGAGTGAGCAACCAGCGGGGCGACTCGGGTATGACCCTGGAAAACCATCACTGACATTTAGCCTCAAGGAACCAAATCAGTGAAGAACAAATGGCCAGTTCCACCTTTCCCTGAAGAGATGAGTGATCTACTACAAAGAATTTCCTTCTACTCGTGATTTTAACAGATGCTAATCTAGAACTATTACAGATCTAGACTGAATCTGAAACTCACCACCACAGTGGGACGCAGAGGAACCCAGGAACTGTCAGGGCCATCAGCAGCATCCGCCAGTCCCGGATGAAGTAGGCAAAGATGGGGAGGCAGGTGTAGCCCAGAGCGTAGCAGATGCAAACCCCCAGGGAGGAGAACAAAACGCGGGTGGACTTACCAAGCAGCTCGGAACCTGTCGGAACATGAGAATGATACAGTACACACAGAAACACACACAAACTATGTCTTTAATGGTATTCTGATCCTGCCAACATCAGCTCAGATAGTACTGGAAAAAAAAATGGCTTAACACACAGCTAACAGCTTGCAAGTTTGCTGACAGGACAGTGTGGTCCTTGTGTAAAATTCAGCTAAAAAGCAAGTCATGTTTATGCAAATAAGAGAGTGAAAGTCATCAGTGTGAAGGTCGTTGTCAGCAGCAGAGTGATGATCATTGGTGTGAAGGTCAATAGTGTGGAGGTTGTTGTCAACAACAGAGTGAAGGTCATCGGTGTGAAGGTCAATAGTGTGGAGGTTGTTGTCAACAACAGAGTGAAGGTCATCGGTGTGAAGGTCAATAGTGTGGAGGTTGTT